TGTCTTGACTTTTCTTGTTGTGAGTTATTTTGTACGAGAATGCCCTTGTGATGTAGAAACCAATTGACACGAAGCAAAAGAGTTAAAAGCTGAAAACTCACCTAGGGATCTAATTGAGGATCAGTTCATCTAAAGAACTGTTCTTTGGAGAGGGAAATGAGCACAGGGGCCAAAACATCTAATTAATGTCAGACCTGTAGCACAAACAGAGACATTTTATCATTGAAGATGGTTTTCAATCCATACCCTTGAGGAGGATGAATTGATGAGAATGTTTACCATAGACTGGACATGAAGGGAAAACATCTGTGCCTAGCGGATACAATGATCAGACATTAAGGAAACTGAGAAAAATGCTGTTACTGAAAGTGAAATTGGGCTGGGTGAGAGAGAGGTGCTGAGTTGTAGACATTTTTTTTTGCTTTCATATTAAATATGATATTCTAACTTTTAGTATCAGTACCTCCAAATCAATTTGGTATTGTGTGGTTAGAGTCTAAGACAATACCTCCAAGACAACATTATGTTTTCATTACAGCTTCTTAAAAAATTCAACCTTTCTCCCCCAAGTGTTTTGTAAACCTGATTCATCACAGAGCCTCTTACACTGGGAATTAGCTATCAATGCTGAATTTATAGTGTTAAAGTTCTCTTATCTTTCTCGCTTGTTTACTTGTTTTTTTTTTTTATAAATGCAGTTATCTTGGGGTTTGGCCTGATTTTACATGAAGAACTCGGTTTTTTCTATTTTTTTTTTTTTTTTTAATGGGGAAAAAAAAAAAAAACTCACAACGTGAGATTCCTTTACTTCTGCAGCATAAAAGCAAATGAAGGTAAGAAAATCTCCTCGTACGAAAGATTTGAGTAAGAATTCTCTCTAGAATAAACAAGGTCCTCACAGATAGCTGAAGGAAAGAGGAAGCAGTTCGGTCTGGCACCTGGTACTCTTTGGGAAAACAAAAAGAGAGGCAGATTGCAGTACTGCTCTCTTCCCATAGAAAATGGTAGGTTTTGGTGGCATGGTCCATTGCCCCATTGTGTAAGAAAAGAAGTAAGTTGGTCGTTCAAATAGCTAAAATACAGTTTCATCTGATCATAAGCCCAGGATTATCTGCACAGTCTCTGCAGTGCCAGCGCGAAGCAGAGAAGAGACCACGAAAGTAGGGAGAGGCCGGGCTGGGGGGCAGAAGAGTCCACTTCTCTTCGGTCAGAATCAACTGCTGGGGCCTCTGTGGTGACAAACTCAAACTCCGTGGGACACACATCATCCATGCATCCACTGCCACTCCCTGAACCACTGGATTCATCACCTGGGGTGGAAATATTGAAGGAAAAAGAAAAGTTAGGTGCAGATACACTAACATTCTTTGCTGTACTATTCCCAATAGCCAAACGGTGGAAACAGCCTCCCACAGACGAATGGGTAAACAAAATGTGGTACATAAACACAGTGGAATATGACTCAGCCAGTAAGAGCAATGAAGTCCTGATATACACAGATGAAATGTGAAAATACTACACTGTCAAAAACAACAAGTATTGTATGCTTTGATTTACAAGATCAAAGTGTATTAGTGGTTACCAAGAGTAATCGTGGGACAGAAAGAGGGAGTCATTGTTTAGGAGACACTGAGCTTCTGTAAAGGGTTATGGAAAAATCTGGAGATGGAGAATGGTGAATGATGATGGCTGGAGCAACAGAATTCACGTTACTGAAATATACATGTGAAAAGTGTTGCAATTACAAATGCTCTGATACTTATATATGCTAAGTGTGTCGCATCGCCTCTGACTCATAGCAACCCTGTATAGAGTTTGCGAAGTGTGTCGCATCGCCCCTGACTCATAGCAACCCTGTATAGAGTTTGTGAGGCTGTAAGTCTTTGCAGAAGCAGAAAACATCATCTTTCTCCCACAGAGAGGCTGGTGGGCTTGAACTGCAAACCTTCTGTTTTACAGTCCAGTGCTTATCTTGCACAGCTTCTATGCTCCCCATTTATATATATTTTAAAAATCTAAAAAACAAAACAAAACTGAAAATCTAGACAAGTCAAAAAAAAAAAAAAAAAAGAGAGAGAGAGAGAAAGAAGAAAGAAAGGAAGGAAGAAAGAAAAAAGTTAGATATCGAACGAATAAAGAGTTAGTGGAAGGAACATAAGGCCGTGGTGGTGGTGTGGTGGTGACAGCCTCCCCTGACCCACCTCATTGTGTTTGTTGTTAATGGCAGCTTTGTGATGGATGTGTGAACTGGAGAGAAGTAGTCATGGGTAGCCAGAGTTCACAACAACCTAAGGTGTTTCTGGATCTCGGGCTGAGTGGGAAACCATTCCTACCATATTGGCTTTAGAGTGTGCTCCCTTTCTCTGGTCAATGTTTAAATTACTTTACAGGATCCATTCTTTATTCTTTATGTACCTGAGAGATATCATATTTTTCGAAAATATTTTGAAAAGATGATCTAAAGGCAAACTAGAAGAAAAAAGTACTGAAATCCCCTCTTACATTTTACTCTAAAATTAGGAAATCTGAGGTAAAGCCACAAATACTTGTGGAAAGTATATATTAGTAATAATGAAAAGGATTCTGGTTAAAGTAAACAAACCTAGGAGAGACCGTTTCCACAATGTCTACATGTGTAACTTTCATTACATTCTTCAAGTTGTGTTACCATTCTTGCTGTCCTTTCCCAAATCATTCCACCATCATTATCTGAAACTCAATGCCCCCTAGAATTCTCTTTCAACAGTTCCCAGGGCCATTGTCCTTTTGATCTCACTTAGATGATTCTTTGAAAGAGCACAATGTTAAAAACAAATGACTTTACCAATTAAAATAATCTTTTTTTTTTTAGGTGGAAAGCTAAGTTCAAAGAAGACTCCAGGGACAGTTTTGGTTTAAGGTTTAAGGATTATCTTGAAACAATAGTTTAGACAGTTCATCCAGTTTCAATGGATCCAGAAAGTCTGGATTCCATTCAGAATTAAAAAATTTGTTCCACATTTTACCCCCTTTTGATCAGGTTTCTTCTCTAGAATCTTTCATCAAGGCATTCAATAATGGTAACTTGGTTACTCGTAAATGATAAAAGTAACTTTTGGTTATTTGTAAATGATAAAAAAAAAAAAAAGCTTGTTCCCACCTCTGCTCTCCTTCTTAGAACTCTATTCTAAACCACTTCTCTTTTTAAACCAGCACATGACAAACTAGACCCCCACTGACCAATCTGGCCTGCTTCCAAAGAATGTTTTTTTTTGTTTTAAATGTTTGAAAATAAAACCAAATGAAGAATGTTTCATAGCACATGAAAAGTATAACTGAAATTTAAACTTCAGTGTCCATATATAAAGTTTTGGCATCCTGATGTGACATTGTAAGATACTCACTCAACCTCAAGGTCAGTTTGAGCCACAAGGTTGGCAGTTCAAACTCACCACTCACTCCTCAGAAACCCTATACAAGGTTGCTATCAGTTGAAACTGAGTCGACAGCATTTAACAACAACAACACCATATGAATTTAGTAGAACACAGCCACACCCATCCATTTAAACCAAACCAGTTACTTTTGGTTGATGCCAACTCATGGTGATCCAGGGGTTTCAGATCCAAATTATGCTCCAGAGGGTTTTCATGACTGTGACCCTTTGGAAGCTGATTGCCAGGTGATGGGAGGACTCTTCTAACGTACTCCTGATAAGACGGGCAGAAACCTGCACAACGTGTGTTTTCATCCCCTACCAAACCCCTGCTTAAAGTGGGGCATCTGAATGCCAGCTAAGATCACTTGAATACACTATGTCAGGTTCTTAACATTTTCTCTGATTTATCTTTTTTTTTTGACAGGGGGGAAATCCCATTAATTAAATTCTAGGTTATCAGAATTACTAAGGGAATTGTTCAGAACACTGGTATTATGAACAAGAAGTGATATAGCCTTTTCAATGATATTATTAAAGCGATGTAGAATATTAAAAATATGGGCAGCAAATAATGATGCGAGTTTCTAGCTGGGGAAAATAATGGCCTTGTGTCTTTGTGAAAGGGATCACAATGCAAGTATCTAAGGGGCAGAGTGGGTGATAAAGAAAACATGTCAAGTACAATAAGGGTGATATGGCTACAAAAGGTGATAATGGCTTCTGTAATGATTAGGGTTCTGTGTCAACTTCACTAGGCCAGGGTTTCCAGAGGTTTAGCAGCTGAAATGCAGTTATTCCCATGGTGATGAATCCTAATATAAGCATCGTTAACACTATGATGAGTGGCTATGAGCAGCCAATCAATTGAAGGGGTGCTTCCTTGAGATGTGGCCTTCTCCCAATATAATGGACACATGGAAGGGACTCCTTCTCTCTCTGACACTGGGGACCTGGGATTCTGCAATTGTAAGTCATTTCTTTGATAATAAGCTTCTCTATCTATATGTATATGTATATGTATAGAAATGTGTGTGTGTGTGTGTGTGTATAAAACAAGCTTCCCTGGTTTTGTTTCTCTAGAAAACCTGGCCTAAGACAGTTTTATGGAAGATACTATTCTAAAATAGAGAGCCAAATCTGTGCTTGGGTGAAAGCTAAAGTATGTTCTTAACTGTTGGTAACTGGAAAGTCAGCAGTTCAAACCAGCAGCCACTCTTGTAAACCCTAAACAGGTTCTCTAAGTAGGAATAGTACTTATTCCTTATACACAGTACACAACCACCACCACCATCACAGGAACATAGGTCAGAGGAGAGAGGACCAAGGCCAACATCATCTAACTCACTACAATAGTCACTCTCTAAATAAAGAAGGAGCCCTCGTGGAGCAATGGTTAAGTGCTTGGTTGTTAACAAGCAGTTTGGTGGTTCAACCCCACCACCATTCCACAAGAGAAAAGACCTTGTGGTCTGTTCTGGTAAAGGTTATAGTCTATGGAAACTGAAGGAGCACACAATGACAACAGATTGAAAAAAAAGCATCTTAATGGTGTTTGTTGTTGTTGTGTGTGTTGTCAAATCAATTATGACTCACAGTGACACTATATTATAGAGTTAGGAATTCTGATGAGGCACTGTAGGATAAGCACTCGATCACAAGGTTGGTTTGAACCTCAAGGTCAGCAGTTTGAACTCACCAGCTGCTCCTTGGAAACCCTATGCAGCGTCACTATGAGTCAGAACCGACTCAACAGCATTTAACAACACCAACAACAATTTCAGGGTGGAACTGCCCCACACAGTTTTCTTGGCTAATCTTGAAGGAAACAGATCACCAGGTTGTTCTTTTGTGGAGCCACTAGGTGGGTTCAAACCGACAACCTTTAGGTTAACAGCTGAGTGCTTAACTGTTGTGCCACCAGGGTTCCTAGTTATAGTATATAGATTGGATAAAATGAGAAAAATGAGGCTAAATGACAAATAAGGAGAAGCAGCAAAGGTTAAAATCTTGAGTAACATTCTCCTTTGAAGAGCAGAGGAGAAGTCTGTGAGGAATGGAAAAAAATGGATGATTCTCAGAAAAGTCACAGCAATGAAGTCTATCATATTGGTAATTACCCTGAGTTGAGAGGTTTTTTTTTTAAACCATTGAGCTGTTTAAAACGGAAGAAAGCACTAAATTTTCTGTAAGCAACAACTCAGTGGAATGAAGGCTACGAGCTGCATGACTTAATGTCTTCCATCTGTAACTTACTTCTATCTTATTAATTCAAACCAGCAAGTATCATGTTTTGCTTTAGTGACCAGATTATAGAATTACTGGCAACTCTCTCCAGTTCATGTTCAAGAAATCTTTTCCTGGGCACTCTTTGTAAGGTTGTTGTTAAGTGCTGTTGAGTCAGTTCCGACCCATAGCGATCCGGTATATGGTTTCCAAGGAGCTGGTGAGCTTGGGCCGCCTATCTTGGGGTTCAAGCAGACATTTCAGTCTAGTGCATTAACCACAACATCCTACCAGGACTTATAAGGCTAGAAACTTTAAAAAAAGCAACAACAACACAAAACCTCTCCTTTATAATTGTTGTTGTTAAGTGCTGTCAAATCAACTCAGACTCATAGCTACTCTGTCTAGGGTTTCTGAGGAGTAGCTGATGGCTTTGAACCACCAACCTTGTGATTAGCAGTCCAGTGTTTATCCTACAGCATCACACTCTATTATAATTTTTCAAATTACGTTTGTTGTTTTTGTGATTTTTAATATAATAGTCTTGTATGGTACTACATCAGCATTTTACTATTTTTTCATTAATTCAGGGACAAATGTGTATGCACAACTGGATACAGAGGAAATCAAGTTATTAGCTCCTTTACATATTGTCTTAAATGAGCCTCCTAAAAACCCTTAAATAGGATGGTCCCATTGTAAAAAATGAGGATCTCAGTTACTTTCAAGAAATTGTTTTCAAGAAGTAAAGTAATTTCTTCAAGGCTACAGTTAATATGTGGGGAGATAGCGACTCCAATCTTGGATGCCTGAGCAATCTTTGGAATATTCTTGGTGTGGTTAAGTGCCATTGAGTTAACTACAACTCATAACAACCCTGTATAGGGTTTCCAAGGAGTGACTAGTGAGTCTGAATCCTGGACCTTGTGATTAAAACCAACCTTGCGGTACAGTGCTTTATCCCATAGCGCCACACCCAGTGAGGAGGGTGGTATTAGGGAAGAGGACAGGAGTTTTGGCAGACACAGAAATGCTGATGAAGAAAGACCAACAAAACAAACACATTGGTATTGAGTTGATTGTGATACATGAGCTCCTATAGGACACAGTAGAACTGCTCTATAAAGTATTTCCAGGCTGCACCCTTTACAGAAGCAGACTGCCACATTTTTTCCTGCAGAGTCACCCACTTTTGGGTTAGCAGCCAAGCACTTTAACCACTATGCCACTAGGGTTCTGATGGAGAAACTAAAACACAAATGGATCTGCTGGCAAATGTGCCTGGCAAATTTTAGCTCTGGTATAACTGAATGTAAGCCATAAGACCAGTTGTTATTTCAATAGTGTTATAGATTGGTTTATTGTTGTTGTTAAGTGCCTTTGAGTCAGTTCTGACCCATAGCGAACCTGTAGAGGGTTTCTGAGGAGCAGCTGATGAGCTTGAACCACTGACTTTGCAGTTCAAATGGACTTTGCAGTCTAGTGCATTAACCCTCAGCACCAAACCAGAACTCCATAGATTGGATTATGTCTCTCCAAAGATATATTAAAGTCCTAATCCTCAACATATCAAAGGATATGTTGAGTCCTGGTGTGGCACAGTAAGATAAACACTGGACTGCTACCCACAGGTTGGTGGTTCAAACCCACCAGTCACTCTTTGGAAACCCTATACAGGGTCGTTCAACTGATTCAATCGCATTTAACAACAACAATGATGTTCTCTATCTGTGATTATGACCTTGTTTAGTCTTTGAAGATGGTATCCCTTAAATTAACATGAAGTCATACTGAGGGGGGCAGGGCTAATTGAATATAAGTAATATTCCTGTAAAAAGCAGGGACAGACAATAGAGGCAGAGATGACAGTGATGTACAAACAAAGGAATGCCAAAGAATGCCAGTCACCATAGAAATTAGGGCAGATTCTCCCTCAGAATACTCAGAAAGAATCAGCCTGGATGACAGCCCGATTTCACACTTGTAGCTTCCAGAACCATGAACGAGTAATTTCCGTTCTTAAAAGCCATCCTGTTGTGGTATATTGTTAGGCCTGTCCTAGGAGACTAATACATTAGTATCTCAACTTTTGTGGATTGGAGAAGAATAAGGTAAGATTAAAAGAACACACTTTTCATGGAGAAAAACCATGGTAAAATCTTGTCCAATAACTTTCTACTCTGAATGGTCCTGGTGCCAGTTAAGATTTCCTTACTCGTGTCCTGAAAGTTGACGTCGTTGCCATTGTATGCATTCTTTAGTTTGTTGGTCATCACACGAAGAGCCATGATCTGCTGTCTGATGAAAGTGTCGGGCCGTGTGATGTCCACATCCACTTCAGGATTGTTGATCTGGTTGGTCAACCCATCATTCATGATCTCAGGCAAGTATCTGAGGACCGAGAGGGAAAGAACAGATCATGTCAAGGGATATTAAAACCAGATTCTGTCATGCTGTCTCCAATGGTGAGCCACACACCTGGCAAAAACTGGGCTCAAGAAATACTGTTAACTGATGGTTCATTTGTTGGATATAAAACTGATGATCTGCCCTGTAAACTTTCACTGAATTCACAATAAAAACTAAACAAACAAACAAACAAAAAAACAAACTGGGCTCAGTTCCTGGAAAAAAATGCCAAAGAGTAAAACACAGTATACATTTTCACCAAGGGAAAACCAGCTGAAAAAGCTTCAGAGTACGTTTTTCACTGGTACCGGATTAGTAGGTAGGTTTGCCTACAAATAAATGCTCAAGTGTGAACATACAGAAATCATGACTTCAATCAACTACTTTTTCTCCCCTCAGTCTAAATATTTAACCCTCAACTGTAAGATACTTCAAATCAAAGACTTAAAACAGATATGTTAAGAAACATATTTGGGAAGTTTTCTCAGTCTTCTTGTTAATTTTAATATTAAGAAATGGATTTATAAATTAATCTGATACAAGGATGTTCCTCTTTAGCATAGGAAGCTCTATCTCACATATTAATCAGAAGATACTTGGAGAGTTTTAGGAGTAACCAGAGATTATTGGAATGCTTGTGGTGTTTGTTTTGCATTTGAATCTTGAGACTAATTCAGTGTTTGGTAAAACAGATGGGTGAAAGCTGGCTCTGAATTTAATATTTCTTTTACTTACAGTAAAATGTCAAAATTTTCAGTTATTCAACATCAACTGCCTAGGCCACCAGGTTGATTTATGCCAGAGGAGGCTAATGATTAGAAAAGGACATGAAGCCCTCTTTGGTTCCTTGTAACACTTGCGACCTTTCCGTTTTCCAGTCTTCTTCTCACACCCACAGACCACAACTATAGCCTCAAACGCACTTCCCTGCTTCTGTTCATCTTCCTAATGTACCCTACACACGGGGTCTAATTGTCCTAAAATAGTGCTTTCATCCTACTTAAAAATTCTTCTTATAATACTTCCGATGATAATATCTAAAGTCCATTGAGTGCTTACTAAACTAAGTGCCAGGCACTGTGCTGAGCATTTTATATACATTTTAATTTTTATTATTTTTATAATTTAAAAATTGTGCTAAGTAGATAATAAATCCTTTGCCATTTCAATATTCTTCACAGCTACAGTTCAGTATGTCTATCATGTTCAACCATTACCATTATCTGTTTCCAAACTTTCCCCTCACCCTTAATAGAAACTCAGTGTTCTCTAAGCAATGAGTCCCCTGGCTCCCTACCTCCCACCTGTCCATGGTAATGACTCATCATTGTAGGTCTTTATACACTGGCCTATGATATCACAGAAGTGGTATCATACTTTATCCCCTTGTGACTGACTTAGTTTCCTCAGCATAACATTTTAAAATCCATCTATGTTGGAGAATTGATATGCATTTTTAATTTTGTGCCATGCAATTTATGATGCAGATACTTTTTTATCCTCATTTTACAAAACAGAAACCTGAGACTTAGAGGTAATAAATGGAAAAACCATAAATGAAGTCAGGAAGTCTAGCTCCGGAAACTGAGTCAATCATTGTACTCTACTGCTTGGCCCGCCATAAAACATGTTTCTACCGCATAGCTTGCCCACCCAAAGCCACCTCCACCCAGGCTGTACTTTGCTATGCTGCAAATCATTTTCTAGATTCTGGAACCCTAAAGTTCCGTCCATCAACTTCCAAATCAGGAAAACAGAAACACACAGAGAAACTTTCATATTTCAGCCCCTTTGTATGGAATCTTTTGCATGATGTATTTGTGTATGAATTGATTTCCTTATTTTAAATCAGAGATCCCCAGAATAAGTTCCATGTCTTCAGCCATATCTTGAGCAAAATCGACTTCATGCTGTTCAGTAAATAATGAATAATGAAACATATAGAGCGCATTGCAAATTCCTTTCCATGAAATATCATGGCATTTACTGTTCTAGAAAATGTCCTAATAGAAATTTAAAAAACAATATCAAGAAACCAAGTCATGGAACTCTGTTTTTTTTTTTAAAACTTTTTATTGTGAATTGACTGAAGGTTTACAGAGTAGATCATCAATTTTATATTCAACAAATCATATACTTTGCTTCGTTAGATGGCTGCAATCCCTCCAAGTACCACCAGTTAACTACATGTACATTTATTCACTTGAACTCTTGCCTTCCTCTCTGTCTCCCGCTACCTTCATCTTTCCTCTGCTAACCTCCCTTTTGTACATTGCCTGCCCTACCACCCATGTGGTATGGTGCTGTGGGTTAATGTGCTGGACTGCAAAGTCATTTGAACCACAAGGATGGTGGTTCAAGCTCATCAGCCACTCCTCGGAAACCCTAAACAGGGCCACTATGGGTGGGAACGGACTCGATGGCACTCAACAACAACAACCTTTTAGCCCATGAGTAATTTCCCCTCCCCCTCTAACCATCATAGATTGTGGGGTTTTTTTGTTTTTGTTTTAATTCTTTACAACATTGGTTAAATACAATGTTTGTCCTTTTGTGGCACCGTAGGATAAGCACTTGACCTCAAGGTTGGTTTGAACTGCAAGGTCGATGGTTCACACTCACCAGCTATTCCTAGGGAACCTACACAGCTATGAGTTGGAATTGACTCCACAGCACTTAACAACAACATTTTCACCCAGCATAGTCTCCTCCAGGTTCAAACATGGTGTGAGATGTTTCACAGATTCATCATTATTCTTCAATGTTTTTTAGTATTCCATTGTGTATATGTATCAAAGTTTGTTTAACTGTTCTTCTGTTGATGGTTATTTAGGCAGTCTCCATCTTTTTGATTAAGTCTCTGTAGGCAGCATATTGAAGGAAGCTGTTTTATTATCCATTCTGCTCTTTATGTCCCTTGATGGATACATTTAATCCATTTACATTGAGTATAAGTATCATTAGATATGAATTGATTGTTGGCATTTTTCTGTGTGCTTTTTTTGTGTGGTGTCGTTGGATTCTTTGTTCCACTTAATTTTCTATACTGAGTTAATTTTGTTTGTGGGGTTTCTTTTCATTCTGTTGTATTAAGATTTACTAAATCTTTCTGATTGTCCTCTTTTTTATTTTGATTTTCAGGTGTATAATTTTTCTTTGAGGTTACCCTGTAATTTATTAATTATTTTTCCCTGTTTAAAACAGTCTATTTGATCTTGAAACTTACTTGACTTACTCGCCATTTGGAAGTTCTGTATCTATACAATTCCCACTTTTCACTTTGTAGTTGACTTCATATACATTGATATCTCTGGTTTCTGACTTTCTGTCTTGTAGGTTTGCTTCACTTTGTCGTTGTTATGTGTCATAAAGTTGGTACCGACTCATAGTGACCTTGTGCACAACAGAATAAAACAGTGCCTGGTCCTGGGCCAACCTCACTATTGCTGCTAGGCCTGAGCCCATGGATGCCACCACTGTGCCAATTTATCTTGTTGGGGGAGGGGGTCTTCCTCTTTTTCTCCAACCCTCCACTTTACCAAACATGATATTCTTCTCCAGTGACTGGTCACTCCTGAGAATATGTCCGAAGTATGAGAGACAAAGTTTGGCCATCCTGGCTTCCAAGGAACACTTTGGCTGTATTTCTTCCAACAGATCTGTTTGTTCTTTTGGCAGTCCATGGTACTTTTAGTATTCTTCTTCAACACCATAACTCAAATGCATCAATTCTTTTACTTTCCAATTTTCACATGCATATGAGGTTATTGAAGATACCGTGGCTTGAGTCAGGAGCACCTTAGTCCTCAAACTGACATCTTTCTATTCAATGCTTTAAGGAGGTCTTGTGCAGCAGATTTTTTAAATGCAATACCTCATTTGATTTCTTGACTGCTGCTTCCATGAGTGTTGATGGTTGATCTGAGCAAAATGAAGTCTTTGACAACTTCCATCTTTACTCCATTTATATGGATGTTGTTTATTGGTCCAGTGGTGAGAATTTTTGTTTACTTTACATTGAGATGCAACCCATATCGAAGGCTGTGGTCTTTGATCTTCATCAGTAAGTATTTTAAGTCCTCTTAACTTTCAGTAAGCAAGGTTGCATCATCTGCATATTGCAGGTTGTTAATGAGACTTCCTCCAATCCTGACATCACATTTTTCTTCATATAATCCAGATTCTCAGATTATTTGCTCAGCATATAGATTGAATAAGTATAGTGAAAGGATGCAACCCTTGAGCACACCTTTCCTAATTTTAAACCACTCAACGTTCTCTTGTTCTGTTCGAAAACCTGCCTCTTGCTCTATGTACGGTTCCTATGAGCACAATTAAGTGTTCTGGAACACTCATTCTCTGCAGTGTTGTCCATAGTTTGTCATGGCTGACACAACTGAAAGCCTTTGTGTAGTCAATAAACAGGTAAACATCTTTCTGGTATTCTCTGCTTTCAGCCAAGAACCATCTGATGTCAGCAATGATATCCCTTGTTCCATGCAATGATATCCTCTTCTGAATCCAGCTTGAACCTCTGGAAAATCTCTGTCAATGTATGGTTGTAGCCATTTCTGTATTAACTTTGTTGTTGTTGTTAAGTGCCATCGAGTCAGTTCTGACCCATAGCGACCCTGTACAGGGTTTCCGAGGGTGTAAATCTTTACGGGAGTAGAAAGCCTCATCTTTCTCCCGCGGAGCGGCTGGTAGTTTCGAACCGCTGACCTTAAGGTTCGCAGCCCGATTCGTAACCACTACGCTACCAGAGTAAAACTTTACTCGCATGGGCTATCAAAGATATTGTCCGATGATTTCCACATTCCGCTTGGTCACCTCTCTTTGGAATGACCTCAAAAACGGATCTCTTCCAGTTAGTTGACCAGAGAGTTGTCTTCCAAATTTCCTGGCAAAAATGAATGAGTGTCTCCAGTGCTGCCTCACTTTATTGAAAGATTTCAATTTGCATTCCATCAATTCCTGGTGTCTTGTTCAATGCACCTTAGACTTCTTCCTTCAGTATTATTGGCTCTTGGTCATATGCTACCTCTTGAAATTGGTTAAACATCCATCATTTGTTTTTGGTACAGTGACTCTATGTATTTCTTCCATTTTCATTTTAAATACTTATATATCTGGGTTGAGTTCTGGGTGATGTTGTCATGTAGGGTAATCTCAGGTTGTCTGCTATTGCTGGTTCTCAGTCCAAAGAATACCCTTTAGCATTTATTGTAAAGTTGGTCTGGTCACTACAAATTCTTTTAATTTCTGTTTATCATAAATGTACTAATTTTAGCATAATATTTGAGGGACAGATTTGCTGAGTATATGATTCTTGGTTGGCAATTTTTTCCTTCAGAGTGTTATATATGTCATTCCATTGCTTTCTTGCCTGCATGTTTTCTGCTGAGAAATCAGAGCTTAATCTCATTGGTTCTACTTTTTAGGTAGCCTTTTGATTTTCTTGAACTGTTCTCAGAATTCCTTTTTTTGTCTTTCATTTTGGAAATTTTGATTATAGTACATCTTGTTGATTTTCTTTTGGGGTTTATCTTGTTTGGAGTTCATTCAGCTTCTTGTATGTCTGCAGTCTTTCATAATGTTAAGGAAGTTTTCTTCCAACAATCCTTTGACAATTTTCTCTGTACTTGTCTTTCCTGTTCTAGAATTCTGATCATCCATACATTGTTCCTCTTCGTGGTGTGTCACAAAAGTCTTAGGCTTCCTTTGGACTTTTTCGTTCTTTTTTCTTATTGTTCTTCTAGAATACTAGTATTTAGAGATTTAGCTTCAAGCTCAGTAACTCAGGCTTCCTTTGCTTCTCATCTATTCCTTTGCCCTTTCAATGTATTTCAATGTATTTCTGAGATCTCAGTATTAATGTTCTGGATTTCTAATTTTAGGTTTTGTATTTGTTCAAAATTTGCATTTATTTTGTCTGTCTGTTCTTATAGTATTGCTCTTCATTCTTCTAAAGTTTGTGTTGTATTCTCCTGGCTTTCCTCAATCTTTCTATTGATCCTTTGAAGGTACCTAATCATTATTGTTTTGAATTCTTTTTCACTTAGTACCATAACCTTTTCTTCCTCAGAAATGTTTTCTGGCTTTGCATCCTGTTCATTTGAGCTATTCTCTTGCTTTTTCATGTAAAATTGTCTGTTGTCTCTGAGGCATTGTGTGGTTGTCGTATTTGTAAGAACAAAAAGTGCAGTTAATGGAGAGCAGAAACCTCTGGGGGCTCCTGTAATTCAAGGAACACATGAGATTGTTGTGGAAGGGATGTGACAGTAGAGTTCTTGGCCCTTGATGGAGTTCCTATTGGTCTCAGTGTCATCTATGTTCAAGGAAGTCAATCTAGAAGTAGTTTGTGGAGGCCCTTGATGAGGCTGGTTTCAGTGTCTCTTAGGACTACAGGGAAGCTGGGGACAGGGTGATTGGTTAAATGCTTGTCTGCTGATTCTGTGGGGCTTATAGGTCAGGAGCTAAGTCTACCTGAATTCAGGCACCAAATCAGCATATGAAAGCAGCGCATCCAGCCCACACCTCACATTGGTGTGGTTCCCAACCATATATATGGTTACAAACTCCTGGAGAGCAGGGTCTGTGCTGGGGGTGGATAAAGATGGGAGCTGGCTAAACTTCTGGTCCTCATGGGAGTATGGGAAAGAGAAGAAATTGCGCTTCTTCCATTGCCTGCACCGAAGCTGCCCACAAGGTGGTTGGGCCGCATCTGGTCAGACTTTCACCAGTTGGTCTCACTCTCTCACTGTCCTTGCTTGGCCTCGCCTCCCAGTAAACACTCTATCCACCTTGCTAACTTTTCTTCTGACCTCAGGGTGCCAGAATTTTCATCTATGTCTGTTTTACTTGGTTTCTCATATGTTTGTTGTAGAGGGTCCATTTAGTGTGTCTGCTTAGTCTGTCATCTTCAATTTTTCTACTTTTGCAGTAAAGTATAACTTTTGTCCTGCTTCTTAATACATTTGGTATGTAAATAAAATCTTGTTAGACTTTTAAATTGTCTCCTGGGTATAACTTATAAAATACGACATTGCGTTGGCTGTTACTGGCATGTAATTATATGAACTAAGCATCTTGAGTTCAACCTAGTGACCCAAACCCATTGGAATACATAATAGCAAATGCATGCAATAGCACTTTGCTAATAATGGGGCTGCTGGGGGCTGAAAGGTGATCTTAGTCTAGTGTTGCTCCTCTACATTTTGGAAGTGATTCTGGCAGTTGTTCCTCTGCCGAGTCAGAAGTGGTCTCTGTTTGTTTCATATGTTGTGTGCACTGCAAGGCAAGCCAAGACTCATTTATCAGGAGCTGACTGCAGTAGCGTACATGGGAATGCTACCCTTGGGAGTCTGAACATCCAGAAACAATAAGAGACTGCCAAGTAAACCCAGCCTCTAACTGTGCCTGCTGATGCTCAGCTGCTTACAATAAAAACAAGTAACAATGCACCCGTGTCCTCAAAACCCTTTTCTCCTTGTGTGCATTCAAAGGGCAACTTTAGAGACAGGGTGGTAACTTAAATTTAAAACACAGTTGAGAAAGAAATTGGCACTGCAGAAAAGACAAACGAGCTAATTCAAAACTAGACAAAAGGACTAGAATAGACATTTCTCTAAGGGAGATATACATGTGGCCAGTAAGAACATGAAAAGATGCTCGGTATCATTAGCCATTACCTGTTGCTGTCTAGTTGATTCTGACTCATGGAGACCCCACGTGTGTCACAGTAGAACTGTGGTCCATAGGGTTTTCAATGGCTGGTTTTCAGAAGTCGATTACCAAGTCTTTCTTCTGAAGAGCTTCTGCGCAGATCTGAGCCTTTCATTCAGTCTGCAGCAGGGCATGTTAGCCATTTGTATCACCCTGGACTCCAATGGTCATGAAACCAAACCCACTTCTATCAAGTGAATTTCAACTCAGAGTTTCTAAGACTTTAATTCTTTACAGGACTCTATAGCTTTATCTTTCTTCCAAGGAGCAGATGGTGGATTTGAACCATCCACCTAACCCATAGCACCAGGATAATTTGAATTAAAACCATAATAAGATATCACTCTACACACACTAGGAAGGCTATTATGAAAATACCTTTTTTAAAAAAGCAATAGCAAATGTTGGAGAGGATGTGAAGAAATTGTGAGAAAATGGACCACTTATGCATTGCTGGAGAAGTCTCTGGGTGGTACAAATGGTGATGTTCTTAACAACTAGATGAAAGGTTGGTCCATCAAACCTCCCCAGGGTGCCTGGCAATCTGCTTCTGGAAGTTAACAGCCTTGAAAACCCTATGGTCAGTTCTACTTTGAACATTTGGAGGTCACTAGATTTCTCCAAGACTTGGAATCTACTCAGTGACAATTATAAACAGTAACAAACACATCGCTGGTGGACATATAAAGAGTGCAGACTCCGGGAAACCATTATACCATTCTTCACAAGTTAAACAAAGAATGATCATTGGTAAGTGATAGTCCTGCGCCGTCCTCACAATTGCAGCTACGCTTGATCCCATTTGTTGCTGCTATCATGCCAATCCATCTCGCTGGGGGAATCCCTCTTTTTTGCTGTCCCTCCACTTTGCCAAGCTTCTCCAGGGACTGGTCCCTACTGATAATATGTCTGAAGTATGAGAGACGAAGTCTGGCCATCTTGGCTTCTAAGGAACATTCTGGTTGTACTTCTTCCAACACGGATTTGTTTGTTCTTCTGGTTGTCCATGGGACTTTTGATATTCTTCTCCAACATAATAGCTCAAATGCATCAATGCTCCTATGGTCTGTCTTTTATTGTCATATGACCCAGTATAGACCCAAAAGAATTGAAAGCAGGGATTTAAATAGATACTTATAAATCAATGTTCATTTCATTTCAGTGTGCACTGCAAGGCGACAGACAGGAGAATAGACAGGAGAATAGACAGGAGAAACAATTTAGATTTCTATCAACAGATGAATGGATAAAAAAAGTAGTTGTTATATAGTATACACAATAGAATTTTATTAAGCCATGAAGAGAAATGAAATTCAGATACATGAATAAACTTTGAAAACCAAGTGAAATTTCAGTCAAAAAAGGATAAATATATGATCTCACTTATATGGGGAAGGAGAGTATGGTGGCTGTTTTAGGATGAGCACTGACTGTGAACTACAAGGTTGGTGGTTCGAGCCCATCTCACAGCCTTGGAAACCCTACACAGGGTCGCTATGAGTCAGAACCAACACGATGGCACTTAACAACAACAACATTGCTATGGTGCAGCAAGTGAACTACATCCATGAGTAGTCAGATGTAACTTTCTCAGGGGTTGTTTTCCATCTTGCAAGAGCACGGCTAAAAACAAAATCTTTGGCAGTTTTTTTTCTCACATCTAACTTTACATTATTAACGTAGACATCCTTGATTACATTTAATTTTAGAACTGACTATGGCAGTGTGGTGGGTCCACATGATAAGCACTGGACTGCTAATTATAAGGTCAGCATGTGGAGTCCACTAGCCACTTCATGGGAGAAAGGTGAGGCTTTCTGTTCCATGAGATTTAAAGCCTTGGAAACCCTATATGGAGTCACTAGGAGTCAGAACGGAATTGCTGGCACTTTGACACTTCACAACAACAGTGTGAAAGAGTCTCGTGGCAATCTGGGAGGAGCTGAAACCTTCAGCCTGTGGGCCACTGCAGACACTGTGCTGGGACCCTCATTCAGCAGAGACATTTTATACAGCTTGTCCCCAGAGAAAGTTTGCCCTGGTGAGCCCCAGAGCTGCATTTCTCTGCTTTCCAATTCAGGCAGTGCTTCCAGACAGACACTGCTGATACATGAGAGCAGA